GATACTGCCCACAAATGCTGCCAGAGTATTTGGTTTTTATTTCTGACTCCCTTTGCAATGAACTAGATCCTCTGCTGTCGTGGTGTGCCATAGTCCCGCTGAATTCAGCAAAGTTAAGCTGTTTTATAGCAGATGAGGTCATTCCCTTCATCCTGTGATTTCACTATCTGTAAAATGGGAATAATAACATTTACTTTATAAAGTGCATTGAGATCCTTGCACAGAGAAGTGCTGTATAAAGGCAAAATATGGTTAATATTATTTTCATACAAACACAGGAGTTTCCTGTAAATGCTTGGCTTTCAGTTGGGAATACATTTATCTGGCAGCATTTCAGAGCGCAAAGGAAAGTGCAATAGCCTGAAGAAAAGAATGAAGACAACCCAACCTCTTCTGTTGGAGGGTTTGGTTGGTTTTTTTTTTCTCATGTAGTTCTTCATTGCTGGAAAAAATAGGTGCCAGAGCCTTGAAGAGTCTTTCATGTCACAGATTTTTCTGATAACCTTGCTGTTCTGTGAAAGCTAGGGTCGTTTAAAGGTTTTAAAATAAATTTTTATATCTCAGGAGTTAGAAAATTAAAGCACATTGAACCAGTGTGCTTTAATTGATCTCATACTCCGAGAAACATAGCTTTTGCAGCAGCTTGCAAGTAAGAATGTCAGCTTCAAGCACTTAAAACGAAGCATGGTGATTACTGCCATAACCGGGCTCATTAACTTCAGCAGAATTACTTGTGATAATATATACTCCTAACCCATAGGAAGATTTTGCCACGTATAGCACTGAATTTAGCATGTAATAAGGAAATATAGTTTGGCTAGTGGAACTTTAAGGGAAAGGTTATACTTTTTTGCTTGCAAGTATCTCATTTTGCTATTCACACCGCTGGTCTTTGATCAAATTAACATTTTACTGTAAGTAGAAGAGCACTCAGTTCATGCTATTCATTATCTTGTCAGGAAACAATGAGAATAATTTAAACTGGATATATTGTGTAAGGCACCTTTTTTTTTTCTTTTTTTATTTTTTAATTGGAAAGCACATGGCAACATTATGATCATGACCTAGTGGCTCCACTGTGAACAGTACAATATTTACATGCTATATTAAAGAATGAAACAATGAAAGTATTTTGAAATATTTTGTTACCAAGGGAGGGAGGGGTAGCTCTATGCTAGAGAAACAGTGGTATAGAAATTAGGAGGAATTGTATGACTGAACTATCCAGAAAAATAGGATTATGCTGGATCTGCATGATCTCTATCAAGGCCAGTAGTGTGACAGTCACTGGTCATCATGTGTCTTCTCGGCTGCGAATAGTGGATTTGGAAGTAAGAAACCAAGGGCTTTAGCATTGACTGATGAAAAGCAACTATAGTATGGGATGCGTATTTCTTAGTCTAAGTGGGATAGTTTCACACAAAGAGAAGGTTGCATGAACTTTCCGGTGGCTCCAAGTTGTGCAAGATTGCTAGTTTTTAGCCATTTTCCATACTGGGTGTCTGTCTCTGGCTGCACTCTCTTTTCTTATTTCAGGGAAAATTGTTCAACTTTTTGTAAGAACAAGATTAGGAAAAAAAAAATCCAGTTTTCCCCACATGTTACGAGTTGTTCTTGCTGTTTTGGTGAGGAGCCTGCTGTGCCCATATTTAAGAGAAGGGGCTTGGCACTTGATGAGGGAGGGTTTGCCTTTTTCTCAGGGTTGTATCTTCTGTTGCTTCAAGTAGGAAAAAGAAGAAGAAAAAAAAAAAAAACGCCCCAAGTTTGGCCAGCCTATAAGCATCTGAAAAAAAGAGTTCACACAAACTCAACAGAATCTGGTTTGAATTTGTCGGCTTTGATGTCCGTGCCTGTCCCAAGCATGCTGCAGTCTATCACTGCGCCGGCGGGGTGAACATTAACCAGCTAGGTTTTTCTTCTCTTGGTTGTAATGTAAGGTTCAGCGCCACTTTGACGGAGAGCACTGGGAGGGGAGATGCTCCCCCAGGCTGCCCCTGCCACGATGGGGAGACAGGCAACGTTGGCGTGAGCGCAGGGGGTGGAGAGGGGATTCATGGTGGGGAGGGAGGGAGGAGAAGGACCGGCACAGAGCTGCTGTGAGGTCACCTGGAGAAGAAGCAACAAGGAAGAGAGGAAGGAGGAAATCATGGGGTAAGACCACTTCTGGAAGTTCGTGTGATTTGTTAGGTTGTGCGAGGTATGAGCTTGCTTTTGTCTGCCTGAAGCTAAAGGCACTAGGGAGCTGAGAGAAGACTGAACTGGTGCTTCCAGCAGCCAGAATTAATTAGGAGGGGGACAAAGTGACAAGCAGAGAGGGGTAGGATTCAGAGAGGCAAACCTGGAGGGTGTGGCAGGGGAGCAGCACTGCAGCTGCTGTATGGGGTCTCGGGGGCAGGCGAGCCGGTGGGAAACAGCCAAGGGTGGCCCGTGCCCGCGGTGAGGCTGCGGCTGCCACCCCCGTCAGAGCACCCTCTCGGGAGCATGCGGGGGGCTGGAGGAGCCCCTGTACCTCAAAATGGGGGCTTGTGCCAGTGTGTTCATTAGCTTTCTGAAGTGCTTAGATCCTTCGGAGGTGGAAACCAAAGCACAGCCCGTGAGGAAACAATTAATCCTGTCTGCAGAGGAGGGTGGGATTAGTTTGCAGTAAATAAATGGCAGAGGTCACACACGGAACAAGTTGGACAAAGCAAAATGTTCATCCACTGAGCAATATTCACCTCGAGAGTGGAATGAAGTAGGGCGACTTGTTGGGAAAAAGCAACAGCATGTTACTGAGCAATTCCAGCCTGCCTCCCAAAGTCCTGCACACAGGGGGTGGACAAACATACCCGCAGCCTTGGGGTTGGCTTTTCAAAACTTTTAAGTGCTCAGTTTTGAAACTACTGTTCTTTTCACAGGTTTTTATGTGTAATTTATAATTTATATTGCAATAGCACCCAAAAGTGCTTTCCAGAGACTGAACACATCTATAATTCTGGCTCTAAAAAGCTTCCATTCTGGAGGGGAAAAAAAAAAAAAAATTGACCAGTATTTCCCGAATAGAATTGCCCAAAGTTTCTGTTGATGTATTTTTAACAATGCATAGTATGAAAGCTTGTCTAATATTATTCACAGGATTACAACAGGTGTTCTGAATTGGCTGGGGAGGCTATGCAGAAAGGGCAGCTGACAGCTTACTGTATATGCAGATGTAACATCTATTAGAAATATCCTCTGTGGTTTGCTTGCATGCAAGCTGAATAGATTCTCAAAACAATGCTGCTGTGAATGGAAGCCATCAGCAGAATTGCTTAAGGCTGCAAAACCCATTACTTATACAACAGTAGATGCAAGAGCAAGTGCCACAGTGCAGTAACTTGTCCTGCTTTGCTGGAGTTGTTTAGCAGTTATTAGATCAATTTATGTACATCCACATCTAATGAAGTACGAGAAAATAATTTATCTCCATGTGTATTGTTAGCTCAGTTTTTTATCCTAATATTAGCAAGCTGCATAAGCAACCTGAACTTTGTCTTTTTGTGCCTTTTTAACGCTGCTACAGTTCTTCAAGCACACAATAGGTTGTCCCATGCTCTGATTATTAGAGCCATGTCACTGTACTTTTTACAATTACATTTTAATTACAGCTGTAGAACCTATGCAAAATCATTTAATATAATGTTGTGAGCAAATAGCAGAGATGATGCGTTTAGTAGTTGATTGCCGTTAGTTTACTGATTGATTAAACATGCAGGCAGAGTCTCTGCTTTGCCTAGTAAGTCAAAGATCGTGCACACACACAGGGGTATAGGTTTTTATACTCACTGTTTCAGATGACTTAGGTTTTCAGAAGGATTAGTTGAAAAAGCAGGGAGCCTGTCACACAGAAATATGGCCAGTTTTGGTGGCTTATAAATGGCAGTGTGAATTTATTACTCAATAAAGGAAGGGACCCATCAGTGTAAAGGGTAAAAGTTGGTCAAGAAAAGTTTTGGCCTTGATTGGTGACAGCTTGTGGGTTTGAAAGCTCTGTCTTGGAAGTGGAGATAGAAAGTTATTTTAGCTATTTTCTGCTCAAAGTGCAGCATGATTTGCATGGAGAAGCCCAGGTGAAAAGCAGTGATTATTCAAGGAGGAAAGCAGTGTGGGTTTATAACAATAAAATACATTTTTTTTTTAAAAGAAGAAAGTCTGGCCAGGAGGACTATGTACTGTAAAAAAACCCAGGTTTTGTTCCACTTTTCTTAACAGAAGCTTAGACACAGTTTGGAAAAGGACTTTGCTGCTATTTATTGCCTGAAGTTACTGACCCATCTGTCTCTACCCAAACTCTTGTACAGACAGTCTTTCCTCATAATTCCGCCTTTCTCTTTTCTACTATTATTCAATATTTATATGGGAATTTTGTCTGGTAGCCAAGTCACAGGCTTATCAGATATTGCGTAAATCCTCAGCAGTTGGTAAGTGATCTGTGCAAAATTGTCAGTTTAGGGTTAAATATTGTTGAATAAATAGACCTGCTGAAAGAACAGAATCTAACAATTCATGTTTTGGGAAATAATTACTGAAGAAAGACAGCCCACAACATTGTATGTGTGCTAGAGAGAATGGTCAGAATATCTTTTAATTCAGCATTTACCCGTGAGAATTATTCCCATGAGGAACCTTGCAATAAAATCTGCTTGGTCTATGAGAATAGAAAGAAATTGAATAAAAAGACTCCATTTCCACTTGTATTTATTCAGTCTGGGAAATTCAGTGGGCCGCAGCATTAGTATCAGCAGGGGATTCCTTGCTCCTAGCGTTAAATTACTGTCATAATCGCTCAATTATTTCTTCCTTGTACTGTTTAAAATAAAAATCCATCACATTCTATGTTTTTTTTCTAACATTTATTAGGTTGAGTGTTTAGGAAAATCAATTATATTCAGTCAGGCATGAATTGATGAATGTTCTTGTAATAATTGTCAGTTGTTAAACTGAATGTACTTTCTCTTTTCACCCCTTTTCATTTCCTTCAGAGGGCAGAGGTGGCTCAGAGAGAGGCAGAGACCTTAAGGGAGCAGCTCTCGTCAGCTAACAAATCTCTCCAACTTGCTACGCAGATCCAGAAGGCACCTGATGTGGTGAGAGAAAATATTTACTGACTCTTACAGGTTTCTGACATTCCTGCAGTACAGCTCTTTCAATTTATGCTCGCAGCTATAAAAATATCTGTTTGGAGTAATATTTTAACTGAAATGGAATTGTGTTCCTTTGGGATTGCGGTTTGGTTAAACTTCTGAGGGGGTTGGTGGCTTCAGAAGACCATGGGATGGACAGAGGTTACTCTGCTTCATGATGACTGTTATGGTGATCCACATGCTGGTCCAGGTGGACACCAGCACCTCTCAAATTATTTCACGTTGGTGAGAGCATCAGCAGAGGAAAAATAAAGGCAGCAGCGCAGTATAAGAAAGCGAGCCGTCAGCACATGCCTGCCAGGAGGGCACAGCAGAGGTGTGGAGCTTCAGACCGAGGGCACCAACCTTGCCCTGAGTTGGCTCCATTAGCAGGGACCTGCTGCCTGCCCATTTCTGGATCTTGTTATTGTGGGTGTTTGGGCTCTCAGAGGAACTGGAAATCAATTCGGTATCATTCCCATTTTCACTGAATATATCTACACTGAAAATTACACCTATAAATCCACTAAAAGAAGCTTAGAAAATTGAGAAGATACCCTGTACTCCTAGAGGTTTGCTTTCTCTGTGTGTTTCTAAAGCAAACACCACTGTTTGGGGAGGGTGGTAGCGCTGACTCTGCTGATCGGACCTTGCGGGCACAGAGTGCTGTTACAGGACTCCAGCTGGTCCTGGGTTAACAGGTATCACAGATGAGCAGACAGAATATTTTGATTTTTGTTTGCCAAAGGAGAAATAGGAGTATTTAAATGTAAATATGCAATTAAGTGAAATTTAGTCTACTTCTAAGCAGCAGATTTAACAAACAAAAGAAATCATGCTCCTTATATTGCTTTTTTCTTGCAAAGCCATATACATGCTTGACACTGATATCAGAAAAAAACACAGTTGCCTTTAAAATACATTTGCAGAGAATGACTAACAAACCGTAAGTCCTCCAGTTCTGTTTGGTCGTCTATTAATACAACCCAGTATTTTCTCAGAGAAGTCAAAAGATAGACAAGCAGGCTGCAAAACAAAAAGCTTAAAAAAACCCAAAAGCCTGAATATCACTTGTAACTCTGAATTACCTGCCTCTTCCTATCTTGTGTCCTAGTCTTATCATTATTTTAACATTAGGTCTTTCTTGTATTTAATAGTACTTCTGCACTTCATTTATATTTAATATGACAACTACTGCAGGATGAAAATGATCATTATCTATCTTATTTCAGACTCTACGTTCTAGTCTCAATAGGCACAAGCAGCAGATGATTATACAACTTGTGATGTTTCATGCAAGCAAATTAGAGGTTTTTTTCAAGTTAAAAGTATAATTCAGTGTAATAGGAGAGCGTTGTTAACTGCTGTTCGTACATGTAGCTTTCTGTGAGATACAATGGTATGTAGTCACTGAGAATCAAGCTAAGTGTTTAGAAGATATGGAAAAGGTACGTTGTTGTGCCTGTATTTTCCAGAAAAGAGGGTATGGAGTGTATTTCAATCTGCTGCAGTGTCATCTTGAATTGTAAGGAAAGTGCTTGGGTGACAGAATCGGTGGGTTGAATTTTCAGCTCTTTCGCTGCAGGATCTTTGGTATAATGCTTATGATCATTGTCTCTCTCTTGGTAAATGGATTCTTTCCTACTTCGCTGGTGTTTTCTGAGGAAGAGCCATTAACCTTTGTAAACACATTTTAGGCTTTTAATGCAACGTGCATTCATTATTGGTCTGCCTCGTGCTCCCCAGATCTGCTCAAGTATTTCCTTATGTTCTTCATGGAAGAGAGGTTCGGAGCTCTCCAGTGCATTATAGCTATTAATCCCTTAACACAAAAGGAGACAAAAGAGATGGTACAATTAGTCTGTATTATCTTTTCAGAATAGATCTACCTTCTTCTTAACTGCTCTGTCCTCTCTTATTTCTTGTCCCACTGGAAAGTCAGTCGAGTGAGGAAGTTTCAGACTTGAGGACAGATATTTCAGCAGTGGGAAACTGGAAGAAGAAAGATCCTGATTTAGGAAAGGGAATTTCTGAAAGTGAAGGCCAAAGGGAGAATGGCCTTGTCTTACAGCTGTCACGTCTATCTTCATCCCCATGGAGAGAGGCTTTAGTAGCTAGCAATAATGTTAACCGAACAATTTTCATGCAAGGAGCAAGTTCATTGGAAGTAACAGTTTGGGGCAATTTTTGACAATTTTGCCTGAAACATGCAGCATGCATACAAAGAGCCAAAGGCACATGACTCTGCTGTTCCCGATTAAGAAATTCTGCTCCATTACTTCAGAATATTTTATCTGATTAGTATTTTGTAAGCACAGATTGTCATACTTGTCAAAGCATTTGGACTATTAATAATAAATAGAACTAAATAGAATTCTTTGACTTTAATGGCTGCATCTTTCCAGTGCAGTTATGAAACAGGGACATTTATTCTCTCCATTATCCCTATTTTACCAAAGTATTGTCCTGGGGAGTAAAAATGGTCATCTTCCAGATGCATGCAGTCTGTCATGGGAGTCCCAGATTTAGAAATTGTTTCTGTCTCTCATGCCACCTGATGCCATGCTTTGTCCTTACCTAGCTGCCCTGAATTCAGGCTTGTTGCCTTTTTTTTATTTATGTGGTCTAATACTTTTTTTTTCACATCAGGAGCAGGCCATCGAGGTGCTAACACGGTCCAGCTTGGAAGTAGAACTGGCTGCGAAGGAGCGGGAAATCGCCCAGCTTGTAGAAGATGTCCAGAGACTCCAGGGCAGCCTCACCAAGCTGCGGGAGAACTCCAGCAGCCAAATCTCACAGCTGGAGCAGCAGCTGACCGCCAAGAACAGCACACTTAAAGTAAGGCTCGGTTCTGTGCTCAGCAGCTTTCGAAGGATATAACTGATGTACCAGTACTGGGGTTTAGGGATGTAAGTTTTCTGTGGTTCTGAGAGGCGCCATAAAGCCATTGACTTCATGAGGAAGCTGTTGAATTCTGGTTTCTGTGACATTTTGTACTCAGGAATCACAGTTTTGGTGAAATTTAATTTACCTAGTTCTCAGTGCTTTGAAATTTGTTTAGGAGGACATGGCTACCTTTAGAATTAAAACCATCAACAAAACCCAACATATGTTTACCACAGATATGTAGTGAAATAGCTGAACTGAAAAGGCACAGAAAATCCTTCTTAGGTTTTAAAACTATTAATTCCCATTCTGGTGATTGGTATTGCAGGTTTGCCAGGCATGTTTATTGTGCCGTAGTCTGTCTTGGAATTTACCTGCTACCCCCTCCAGTTCTCTCCACTGGAAAAGGGAAGTATATCATTCAGAGCATAAAACCAAGTAAATTCAAAATGCAGAGAGGCTTTTTAGCCTTCATAACCATTCCGTTGGTTTTTTTAACTGTGTATTTGCTGCACAGTAATTTCCATTCCTAAGTAGTGGTCCAGTCCTATATTCATCTGCATACCAGTAGCACTGCAGTGAAACTAGAAGAAACATCTAACAATTTTGTGAGTGACCCTTTTACCTTTTGCTTCAGCAGCTTTACTTTCTTTGTGCACTAGCCCCCACAGTTCTGATCTATCAAGTAAGCATGAGAAATGTTGCCTGACAGGTGTTATGAATCAGATTCCTGTAACTCCTGTCTCTTTCATTGTTCTACCAACTATGAGCTTCAAAGTGTAAACAAGATAAATTTATCTATTCCATTAAAGACTTCATAGTTTTGTAGGGTTTATAGTCTGAGAGTTTTTTAAAAGCAGGAGGCTGATAGTACCCACTTAGCTCTGACTGTGGCGTGGGTTGCTTTCCTCTATCAGAATGATTTAACGTTCAATTGAAACTCTTACAAATTGTTCTAATTCTGACATTTTTTAGTGGTTACTAGTTTTGCTCTGGTGTAACATAATTTATGTGGAGAAATGTCTGTTAGGGATGAAAGCCCAAGTGTTGCGTTCGGTGTGCTTTCTGCATGTTTTAAGACAGCCTTGCAGAATTTTTATGAAAATTCAGTAGAGCAAAGGAAACCTCTTAGGTTCCTATATTGACAGTATCAGTCTCTGCCCATCTGTCACCATGTGGGCACCACTCTTAATGAGGGAGGAAGGAGCTGGCATGGCTTTGAGGGTCACATTTTCCTGGTTACACTCATGTTAGAGGTTTTTAAAATTTTTTTCATAAAGCCTGATAGAAAATATCTTGAGTCCCTGCACTTGACAGATTTTCTTGGAATAAAGCATGTTCCTGGTGAGGTCAGTATTAGTTTAGCCATTAACTTCAAAGGGAATAGGATCATAGAAATGACAGAGCAAGTCTTTGATTTTCATTTCAGTAATCTCCTTCCATTTTCTCATAGGCTTGCCTGGCTAATGCTCTGTATTTAGGTTCCTGTTGATAGTGTCTGATGCAGTGACTCTATTGATAAAGTTTTAGTCATTTCAACCCTCTTTAACCTTATTTGTTGCACTACAAAAATATTTCAGAATACATACTTTTACCCCAAAGTGCTGGGAAAACCTGTTCCTGAGATCTGCTGTACAAAGAACCAAATCTCAGTGGTGATGTGTTGATCTCATGTTTGATTATAGAGGAATTGCTTCTAAAATAACTGAGATTGTAATGGTTGCCTCCACAAAAAATGAATCACAGTTTCACAAATTAAAGCAATGTTCTCAGACCATATCTTGGGGGAATTCTTTAATACTCTATGACTTAATGAAACAATACAGAAATACTTTCAAACTTATTGCTTCTTTATCTTCATCTGATCTAATAATCAAAACATGTCCTCTAGTAACAAGACTTTTCTAACTATAATTATATTAACTGTTTGTTGCTGGGAGTTAGAGCTTCCCTGCTACCCAGTTAAAGTACGAGGTAGCAAAAAGATACATCAAAAAACCTGGGTTAATTAAATACAGGCTTTTTAGTTTATCACTCTAAACTAAACTACAACATTAGTCTAATGGGTTTTTTAAATGTTTTACGCCCTTTAATACAGCTCATGCTGTTTACCTAAGATGCTTTAGTTAATAGTACAGTAACGATTTTTTATATTTAAATAACGCTAGTGGACCCAAGCTATGCACGCTCTAACATGGGTTCGTTCACGCAATAAATGCAAGGTGATTTCTTAACGTGGAATATTTGCAAATTTAGCATGCAGAAATGCCACCGGTCCATTCCTTCTGTCCTCTGGCTCCCTGCTTTTTTGTGTGTTGGAGGATGCTAGAATATATTTTTTCTGAATTAACCAGGTTGATATTTAGTGTAATATATTAGTTCCTCCAGATTGTCTCACAGCTTGAACCTTTGTTATACCATGTTCTGTGAATTTTACTGGGTTCTTTGAGACAATTACCATACTAATACATTTTAAAACAGTCATTGACTGGGAAGATGCCAAGTGCCTAAACAGTCTGCTTATATACAGGCATTGCATTCTCAGTTGTTAGTTTATATTGTTTAGTAAAGTATACATTTAAGTGCAGATTTTCCATGGCAACAATCTCTGTATTAGGTACTTGGGAATGATGGATGTATGTGGTTTTTATACAATTCAAAGTAAAATATTGCTGGTTGCCATACTGCTATAACAACATAGAAGTACCTGAGAGTCCAAAACAGCTCCATTTTGTCAACATCTCTCTTTTTTTCTTTTCTTTTTTTTTTTTCCCTTCTTTTCCTAACTGTGTTTTGTACCTAAAATTTCCAGAAATATTTTCAGGGTATAGTATATCTCTAGACAGGATTACATTTAATATAGATTGCATTAAAATGGGAATCATTAGCTTTCCTGTATTTTGTATCTGTTTCTACAAAAGGCTTTTTTCTTAGCATATCCTTGCTAAGTAACTAATATATTAATCCAGGATACTGTTTGGCTTAAATTTATTCCTATACTTCTTACACTGAGGACTAACGTAAATAACCAGTTATTCCTACTGTAAAAGCTAATCTGCTGTAGACCCAAAAGCATTACAAGTCACAGAGTTAAGGAAGAGAAGAATTGCAGTGTATCTTTGCTTTAAGCTGTAGAGCAGCAAAAAGAAGTTAGAAACAGCTGGCAGAGTGACATGGCCAAGGAGAGCTGAAAGATGTTGTGTGGTGTTCAACAGGGTCCTCCCATTGCCTGCATCGAGGTTGGAAGCTGTCAGTCATGACGCTGTCTCCTCCCCAGTACCTAGGCTCTCAGGCTCACTGGTTTTGTTTAAAGATCCCTCTCCAATCTCACTGAGCCTGATCCAGTCCATGAAGAAGTCGGACTCCTTGTTAAAATCACTGTTTCGCTCACTACTGGAGCTTGAAAAGCTGCTTGAACTTGTGGCATGTTGTAGCTGGCCCTCCTTAAAACTTGAGAACTGAAGTGACACCTCGGGCCCTGGGATTACGTAGGACATTTGCATAATGAGATTTCAACACATGTTGAAGGTTATCAAAACCTCAAACATCTTTAATATTTGTAGGATTTTCCTGGTTACATCAGTATAGGGTTTTTCAGCAAGGTCAAAACACTTTCTGCTGTATAAAGGAAAGTCAGTACTCCCTGTAATTCCAGTTAGTAACTGGAATTTAGTAAGGCAGGACATGTCAGAAGAAATGACTAAAACTTGCCCTGTATTTATTCCAGGTAAAAAAAAATTGTTTTAGCTGAAACAGACATGTGGGGTTTTTTCTTTTTAACACAATCCAAATGACTGCACAAGTTAGTGATGGCTAAGGATGCTAATACACAAGACCTTTTAAGAGGCTGCTCATTTCATCAGTGTCCCACAGAGTGCAAATTCCACACCTAACAACAGTTTCTGCTTTCCTGCAACAACCGGTGGTGGTGATCCATTAGGAGCTGCTTGCTGAGCAGCTGCCAGAGCAGGGCCCGTGTATTACTGCTGGGAGATGCCTCTTGTCAGCAGTAACTAAGGAGTGTGGATTATGGTATCAAAAAGCAGGAACAGGAGTTTAAGGGGGCTGTATATTGATAACGTGGATGTCCACTTTGTCACTGCTGTTAGTATACGTGCTAATGGCAAAGCAGAAATGTCAGCAGTACGTAAGTGGAAGGGACATGATAGGAAATCCTTTAAAAGATGACAGAATAGCTGGAAGTCCATCAAAGCCCTTCTTCTCCTGAAGAAGCCTCATTTAAATTCTTAAAATGTCTCAGGTGATGGACTCGCTGATCTGTGGGTGCTGTGTTACATGGTGTTCAGGTTTGCAGCTTGTACCCCCTGAATAGCTTTGAAGTGGGTGATACCTACACACTGATTTACTTGGGAAGACAGCGTGATTAAGAGATTCCCACTTCTAAATGCTCATCTGTCCCAGCCCTGCCATTGATACACCCGTGCTGGCACAGAACTTTATGGGACTGCATTTTAAACAGGTTTTCTAAAATTATCCATGTTCACAGCAGCCCTTCCCTGCCCTCCTGCATTGAGTGAGCAGCCCAGGGGTGGGTTTGGGATCTTCCTGAATTCACTTCTCCACTGAACATAAAGCCCTGTTTTTCTTTTTCATGTGATATATTCCTTTCCTTTTCAAAGTAGGTACTCTGTCTTTGAGGGTGGTACGTCCTTGTGTTATTTCTGTTTCCTGTGACCTTTGGGATTCTGTGCCAGTTTTAACACCAAAAATTAAATGATGCAGAGCTAGCCTCAACTTATCCATGAAAGTTACAGACCAGTAAGTTCTGTTCTTTCTTTGCTTCGATCAGGTGTGCCTGTACTAAGCAAAGAAATTATTAGTGGGAAATTAATGTGGCTTCTGCAAGCAACATAACGGCATCAATTATGTATCACTATGTTTTAGGCCTCCTGAAGCATTTATCCTGTAGTGATGAGCACTATTGTTGGGAGCAGGGGCTCTTGGGTAAGGTCCAAATGTGTGGCATTGCGTTATGGATTGTGTTAGGAAATTTGTTTCAACGTTTGCGGCATCTTCACACCAAAGAGAAGCCATTGAGACTGCCCCAGGTCAGGTAGACCTGAGCAAAAAGACCTACTGAGTTGGTCTCAATGCTTCATCTCTGGTGTGTAATCCTATTAGTTATTGCAATAAGTAATGCTTGTAAAACGACTTGGTACAGCTGTTTTGTTTGGGCATGAGGCATTGTAGAAGTCTTAAAAGCCTAAGGCATTCCAGTCAACAACAGCTTCTTCAGTCTTTTCTTTTTTTTCATGTAGATAAGGTTACCAAGAACTGTCTTATTAAGAATACAGTATGTGCCAAAGCATCCTGCTTGTTTACTCAATTCATCAGTTTCGTAAAAATTTCAGCTGCCCCATTTTTAATACTTTCTTCCCCGATCTCTTTATTGAACACATGACAGTGACATTGCAAACAGCCAAATTGGAACCTACTGAATCCTGTAATGCTTGGCACTCTGTAAACAAAGGAAAAGTGAGGTATAATTGTGTTTACGTTGAATTGGTTATAGTTTGTTTTCTAATATATGTAAATTAGGTATGAGTCATTAACCCTCACTTGTGCACTGCTGTATATATGGAATAATTTAAAGATGATTTTGAAAGCCTGCAGAAAAAAATCTAAATAATTAAATCCATGTTCTTTCTTTTAAAGCAACTGGAAGAAAAACTGAAAGGACAGGCTGATTATGAAGAGGTTAAGAAAGAATTAAAGTAAGTGTTAAATGCTTACATAATTTTTTCACAAACTCCAGTTTAACAATGCTTGTTAAATGAAGCCACAAATCTGTGTTCTTGGAACAATAAAGAATTCAGTCAAAACCACAAAGTCGAGGAAATCGGGAATATTGACAGAAATTACATCCAGAACCAGTGCAACTGCTGTATCTGAGAGTGCTCCTTTTTGTTGCGGCACAGTATCACAATAGCACATAATACAAGTGTCAGTGAAGAAAAGACACTAAAACTATTCTTCACCAAGGGTAAAAAGTTGGAAAAGCTGTGATATTTTAGGTGGACTGCTCTTTAAAAATCCCCAGCCAACAGCCAAATGTAATGTGGACCAAGAATTTAATGCAGGGCCTTTGGCCATAATACCTTTTCTATGCTTTAGCCAGCCAGTGTTCAGCACTTAACATTTTAATGCTGTGCTTGTTTCACTGTGTATTTTTGCTACTATATTGTGGTTTTAAACTAAAGCCACAAACAGCCTCTTCCTATTTCAAGAGATTTTTTTAAGAGACTTAGAAGAGCTTCATTTTAAACTATAACAAGATAAGCTGTCAGGTTCAGAAGAGAAGGTTTTTTTCTGGAAATATGTTTAGTGTCAAGGTTTAAATAACTGCAAGAAACTCTATCTCTTCTTTCATCATTCTGGCATTTTTGTGTGTATTTTAAGAAGACTGAAAAAATGTTACTTTGTTTAATGAGGTTTTTCAGATGAGGCTGGTAGTCATGTGCTTTTGTTTACACGTCCCTGGAGAACACGGAAAGCAGGTTTGGTTTTGCAAGCCCAATGACTGCCCAGCCCCTGGTGCTATTATATTCAAGGCACGCTGCTGTGGTTCTGGTTCACTGCCAGCTGCAGCACACCCTGATGTAGGTATGTAGTTTCAGTCAAGTGAAATGAATTGGCCATTTCTTTGGTCAATATACCTGAATATTAACTGGTCTCAAAAAAGTATCATCGTTTTAGTGATACAGGCAAATATGTCCACATACTCTCCTGAGTTAAGGAAACTCAGCTTCAGATTTCAGACAGTTTATGCCCTCATGTGTAAAGTAATAAATGGGAATTAGTTCACAACCTCCCAATTTGCTCCATGAGTTACTAAATGTGAATGTGCTGAAACAGCAAATGAGTTTTAAATCCTACCTGCTTTAATGCCTTTACTTTAGATACAAAACTCATTTAGATCACTGTATTTCTGGCAGTAATGCGCTTTTTTTTCTCCCTCTCTTTTTTACAACACTGGCTTGCATGAGGGCAGGGATGGGACTGCAGATGAGCAGTCCAGGGGAAGCCGTGACACAGGAGTGTTCATATGGTGCTTCTGTCTGTTCCTGTTACTTCAAGATGAGCCTGCAGGGAAATAGATGAGAAAATATCCTAGAAGTGGCCCTTGTGAGGTGCCAGTAAATTAAGTTTGTTGTCCTGGCTGTTACAGCTTTTATATCCCCTAATTTGTGGGCAACATTTTTTTTATCTGGGCAGGCTGACTTTGGAGGGACAGCCATTAGGTTGTAGGTGGCCTGGCATCCATATACCATCCTGCTGGATGGTGCGGGGTTTTAAGAACCTCTGTGAGAGCACTGAAAATGTTTGCAATGCTGCATCATCACAGCAGCTCATTCACGTCGCCCTCTCTGCTCCTATCTGGTCCAAAAGATGTGCCAAAATCTAAATGTACATCACCTGAGACCAGCAGTCTGATCTGAAGTGAAACTATGAAAAGTCTATTGCTGCGAATCTGGTATCGCTCACACTGAATCCTACTATGCCTTTGTGCCCTGAAACACTGACAAAAATGAACTCCTCATAATGGGCACACACACCAAGAGAAAACACACCTTGTCTGTAAGGAAGAAAGATGTTGTGGTAAAGAAAAGGTAAACTGTGTGGATTGAGCTAAGGACAGTTTAATGGGACAACACAAGGCGAGAAGACAAAAATAATAATACTAAAAGAACAATATGATAAAACAACTGATGCACAAGGCAGTTGCTCACCACCTGGAACCCAATTTTCAGCCCCTTCCTGAGCCACGATCCCTCCTCCCCCCAGTTTATATACTAAGCATGATATCCTGTGGTGTGGGATATCCCCTTGGCTGGTTCGGGTCAGCTGTCCCAGCTGTGCCCCCTCACAGCTTCATGTGAAAATTAACCCTATCCCCGCTGAACCAAGGACAAAAGAGTAAACTTCTCAGTTGTTCTGGCACTGATGTATCTTCCTCAATCCTCCCAAGGATCTTTGAGGCATTCGAGGCTGAGGGATCTCAATATCAGCCAACTTCTAACCATGGAGGAACTTAACTGGGTCCACATCAGGATCTGGGATGGGAGGGTTCCTTTCTTTCTTCATTGGCTTTTGTGCCAAATTGCTTTTAAACCTGTTTTTGAGATCTGAGAGCTCTGTGTGTCCTTTCAGTTCCCTCTCGAGTAATACAACAGTGCTAACCCTCCTGCCTTTGCAGTCAGGATCATACGAACAGAAAGTTGAGCTGTCCCAGTGCATGCTTTGCTTTAGAATAAGATCTTTGAAGTCGTCTTAGATGTGCAGATTCAAGTCACAAGATCATTCCTTTAAAAAGCAGATAACTGATCTTGAGCAGCAGATTGAGTTGAGATCTCATGGGCAAAGATATTCCTGGAAACCAAAGGGGAAAGATTTTGCTTCCTCATATTCCTGAGGATAATGTCTCTTTTGTGACACATTTGGAGAGTCATTTCTGACATGTTTAAATTTTAGAGTTGTTGAAAAAATGAACCTGCTGCAGTGAATATTCCTTCAAGGGCAATTCAAGATACCATCAACCTGGGTTTTAGTGTATTTTGGATTCTAGGTGTATAGGAAATTACCTGTGAAATTGCCAGAAGGCTATTTCAGGTAATAAAGAATCTACTTGATGTGGGTGGAGGTCAGTAAGTTTCCAGCTGAGGTTTGAATATGCATGCCTGCTCCAAGCTTGCTGAAAAATTCAGCTGCTGAAGGTTCGGGATCCTTTCTGAAGGTCCCAGCTGGCAGCAGGCGCTCAGAACCAAAGTGCATTGGTAGAGCAGCCTGTGCACATGGAGGGCACAACAGGATCCAGGCTTTAAAGCCAAACTTCTGGTACCAATAACCCAATATACACACTAAATACATTCAGGCTTACTTTGCACCTGCGCCTGGTTTCAGTCAGGTTCTGTAGGCAGCAGGGCAGTGGTCAGAGCACGTCACGCCTGCTTCTTCCAGAGCGTGCAGCCTCCTCTGGGTTAGTCTCATCTGGAAGGAAGGTGGGTGGTATGCTCCAGGACTGCTCTGCATGGCAAACCCAAGTGTGGTAAGTGGGGTTACTGGGACACCTACGTCACAAGTGTCCTGCTGATCTGAACTGAAACGGCAGAAACACCTCTGATTTGCCATGGGAAGTTTTCCACGTGATTATTTGCTGTTACAAGTTGTTTTTCTTAAAATTCAGATGGGTCTCCTTCTCTGACCATCATGAGGACATACATTACTACTTGCTGTCCTTTCAGAGGCCGTACTCTGCAGAATCCATGGGAGGATGAGAACAGTTACCTACCAGTGGCTGGGGTTTTCCCTAGATGAGTCTCCATGTATTTATCTCCCACAGGACCTTGGAGTCCTGGTAAACAGAGCTGTGCCCCTTTGAGGTGTCCCAAGAAACACTTGCTTTCAGCAGTGATTAGCAACCTGAGTAAACATGCCTGTGATGTCAGTATAACATCAGGATCTCTAAGAACTCAAGCTGTTAATGTGTTATCTCTGTCCTTGACTGGCACGAACTCCATTAATAGCAGAAAAGAGGCACTTCTGTATGTGGGTGAGCTGTTGTGCCCACATAAAGCGGAGTCTTAACAGCATTACTTTTTGTACTTGTGTATTGGATGATAGCTCTACCCTACAGCAATTTCTGCTGGCAAGAGGTGTCATCCAGCGATGCTCTGTGATGAAACTGATGGCCAGAATTTTGTGATTTTATTAATAATTATTAATAAAAGGAGTGCCTGTCAGAATTAACACTGTATGCGATGAGTGTGTACAGTTGCAAAATGCGTGAGGCTTCTGTCTCAGAATGACTTTTTTCTTGGATTTGCTATGACTTCGAGTTATCTTGAATGAGTCACGGAGACCACCGATTTCCAGGGCATCTAATTCTGGATTAATGCACAGAGAGATTTATAGAGGAGCTGGACGCCACATGGTCTGAGGCAGTTCATGAGTTCTGGGTGCCTGGCTGCCTCCCAGTGGCATCCAGGACTAGTCCCTATGTCTTAATACTGGCGTTCTGCTTTTTTTGACTCAGTTTCCACATTTCATACATGATTAAACGTACTCTCCCTGCCTCACAAAGTTCCTGGTGCTTTATACATGAAAAATGCTGTATAAACACTATCTATATCTGTTTATGTATTTTTCTTCAACAAATGAAAGTCATCTTTGTACAATGAGAAGCTCAAATCATTTATTGCTTCAGTCTGAGGAAGTTAACATCCTGCCTGCAGCAGGCCTATTTAAAAAAATTTATAAGACAAAGCACAGTAATAAGTTTGTATTCCTGTAAGATTCTCGTTTGCGAGACAATACAACTCGTAACTGAAAGACTTTGAAGGGACACGTCCTTTGACCGCACAGTATTTTTATAAAATATTGACAATGAGACTATCAGATTCTTCTCTTAATGTACTTATAAATATTTGGATCTTTCATATTTCTTAAGAAATATTGTGCCATTTTGTCTTCCCTTTGCCATAGAACTAGGAGGTTATTAAAATGAAAAACTGCCTTTTAGCCTGTAGTGTCTTGGTCAGGAAGATTATTTGTGTATATTTTTCTTGCTATGTGAGCTGGTGTATATTATATAAAGGACTGTAAATGTGGTGGTGATTCCCCTGTTTTGTTGCTTTGCTACAACTTTTTCATTCCCTTCAAGCTTCACAGATAAATTTATATCACTTGTGACAGATTAAAATGTTATATCCTTATTAACCTTTAGATTTACGCTTTAAACTGGCCTGGTGGGATTGCATATGGAATGATTTAGATGACGCTCAAGAAAATTTTCTTATCCAATAACTAGTTTGAACAGTTATTCTGTATTCATTATGAGACTGTTACTGCAAGGAAAGTTGTTATCACTTGTAGTGCTGCTGGAGAGTAGGAGATGATAACGTTAATGCTCATTAGTGGAACTGTTGTGAAAAGAAGAAATAGAAAATAATTTTTTTTTCTGCCTTTCACAGTATATTGAAATCCATGGAGTTTGCACCGTCTGAAAGCTCTGGTGCGCAGGTACTGAACCTACTTTTGTTTTCTTACTGACTTCAGCAGTTCAGTTAATTAAGAAAAATTGTGTCTTACAATTCATTAGTGTTGGCATGGACAATTTCCAGTTGATGTTGAGACATACGGGTTGATCATTGTTTTCCTGATGTTTTCTGATGTAAAAAGCTGAACTGAACATTTTTTGCCTGTTAATTTCTTTTAAGTGGTCAAGGACAAAGAATGACGTTTCAGCTGTGCTGGAGTGGATAACCATAGTGTTGTGAAGTTGAGTCTTTTAAAGATACTAGGAGTTGGTGTGTAGCTACGCTGAGATTTGCATGTTTCCTGTAGTGACAGTACGCTGAGCAAGGATTTTAGTATTTTTAAATCTTTGTTAGCCTTGAAAATAATGTTCACAAAAGAAAACAAACCTTTGTGTACTGAGAAAGTAGGAGAAAGGTCTACTATTCCAGCAAGTTAATCTCACTTGTTTAAAGGCTTTGAATTAAATTCCTGCTTCTGAAATCTGAAATGAATATCAATATAGTGGGATTAATTTTCAGTATGTTTTTTTAATGATCAAGGGTTAGATATTTAATGGAAGGTAAATGGCAGGTTTCTGTGACTCATTTTATTTTTGAACAAACTGTTCACGTTGAAACAGCATTTGAAGGAAATGCTTAACTTGGGTCAGTTGACCTAGAAGAAATAATATAATCTTAACTCCTATTGTAGTCAGATTAAAAGAAGTCTACAGCTTTTAAATTGAAAGCATGCCAGTATCATTTTAAAATAAGTAGGATTAAGGAAATGTTCCATTACACATTCCAAAATAATGCAGAATTGATGAGTGATTTACAGTTGAAATTAAACAGTGAATCTCTTCTATGGCTCACGTAGGAGCACTGAGTGATTCCTGCAAATAGATGCATGGTGAATTCCCTAGCTGTGTTCATAGCAGAGATGAGCACTTGTTTTTTTCTTCTGAAATCCTTTTTAGTGCCTGAGTGAGACGCTTAATGCTTTTAGAAACAAACCTCCCACTTTGATTTTCTTTAGGATGCATCTAAACCGCTGGAGGTGCTGCTGCTGGAGAAGAACCGCTCCTTGCAGTCTGAGAATGCCACGCTGCGTATCACAAATAGTGACCTGAGTGGTAGGTTGACACGATTTTCGGCTATTCTGGTTTGTTTGCTGTCTTGTAAGGGAGGGAGGGCTGAGTGAGAGATGAATGTCTGAGCTCATGCATGGCAGGAAGATTAAGAGGCAACAAGAACACTGAATAACGTTTGATTTTTGCAGTTTTATAGGCTGGATAATAAAATAAAACTTGGAGACCTCAGAGAGTCTTTAAAGGTTAGGAAAGAGGCATTACAGGATGTTCCAAGTGGTAGCGTTTAAGGCTGTCTTCTGTTTTGGGAAGAAATTCATCCATGGCACCAGAAGTCTCTTCCCCCACACACAATGTTATGCAAAATGTTTGCATGTAGAACACAGTAATCTTCCTGTCTGATACACTTAGATATACTACCGGCAGGTCAGCTTGGAAAAACAAAATACTTTCTTTTTAGCGAAGTGTGTTTGCCGTTTAGCTTTCCTAATGTGGGCTTTTTACATCTTGTGTGCACATATTTTAAATGGCAAGTCATGGAATTTCCAGATACTTGAATGCTTATGGTTTTTGCAGCTGGAAGAAAGTTAAAAGTTGCCACTGGCCCTGGGATTACTGAATTCTGAAGTGTTTTATGACTTTAACTGAGTGATCTTGGTGCATCCACCTAATGGTGATTCCTTTATTCAAATTGGTTTGTTCCAAAATGTAAATGTTTGCTGCATTTGGGTTCAGTCAGGTCCAATGAGTAATGTCTTGAATGAGAGACAACAAAGAGACTTGCTGTCTGTAACTGCATTTATTTTAAATGTATAACTGCACTTCATGTAATTGTTCTAGTTTTAATGTTTGTAAGGGGGATTCTCCAGGCTGCAACATACAAGAAAGGTGCAAACATGAAATGCATGTTGTTTGTTTTGGGGGCCTTGTTTGGCTTATTAAAATTTTGATTATGGAAAAAAAAAACAAATGAAAACAAACCAAAACCAAAATGAAAACAAAAATCCCACCGCCACTTCATTGGCCCTTGTAAATCTGCACTTTTTCCCTTTGCGGGGCAAACTTTGCATTTTTTTATCTTGGTTTTTCCCTCTTTGATCCCCCATAATGCATTATGTTTGACCTTCCTTGTAGGGTCAGCCAGGAGAAAAGGGAAAGACCAGCCTGAGAGTCAGCGTCCTGCAACCTTGCCGGCCTCCCCTCCTTCTCAGTTGCTCCGCAACGCGGGGGAGCAGGCTTCCAATACTAATGGTACACACCAGTTCTCACCAACGGGTTTAAGTCAAGACTTTTTCAGCTCATCCCTGGCGAGCCCCAGCTTACCCCTGGCCTCCACAGGAAAATTTGCACTAAACTCTCTCCTCCAGCGACAGCTAATGCAGTCCTTCTACTCCAAGGCAATGCAGGAAGCAGGAAGCACAAGCATGATTTTTTCAACAGGTCCTTACAGCACAAACTCCATATCTTCCCAAAGTCCATTACAACAAAGTCCGGACGTAAATGGCATGGCCCCGTCTCCCAGCCAGTCAGAAAGTGCTGGGAGCATCTCTGAAGGCGAGGAGATAGACACAGCTGAAATTGCACGTCAGGTGAAAGAGCAATTGATCAAGCACAATATTGGACAGCGGATATTTGGACATTATGTGCTGGGACTGTCGCAAGGGTCTGTGAGTGAGATACTAGCCCGGCCAAAGCCATGGAATAAACTGACTGTGAGAGGCAAGGAGCCATTTCATAAGATGAAGCAGTTCCTCTCGGACGAGCAGAACATCTTGGCTCTTCGCAGCATCCAGGGTAGACAAAGAGGTAAGCGCTTGCCGGCCGAGGGTCTTGCCCTATTTTCCTGTTAGCTACAAAGTTAAAAATTGGAAGCTTCCCTGTATGGGGCCATTTGTGCATTGCTGCTGTTTTCACCTGCATCAGATGTCAGGTACAGAAAGTACAGCTTTCTAACTCTGCTTTTCAGCACTCAAGCAGGTTAGTATCTTTGCTTATGCTTTTTTTGCCGCTGACTTGTGTTTGTCAGCAGGAGCAAGCAGCAGGGACACTTACAACCCTCACTTCCCAATAGGTCCATGTCAGAGCTAACTGCAGAGTGAAAAGGGTCAGTAGCTACTAAGGGTATCAGCCCTCAGAAATACTTGAAAATTCTTTGGGGAGTTGTTTATTGAGACCAGACTTCTGTTGTGTCTTGTGTGTTTTTTATTTTTTTTCCCAAAGTGTTTTGACAGAAAGTCTTAGGTGATGCATGAGATGAGTAATTAAAAAACAATGCTAATTTAAAGCAGCTTTGCATATTTAAGGCAGTGATTTTAAGAAATAACATGCATTTCACTGTGATTCATCATAAGTGAAGACTGAGTTTTACATTTAGGGAAACTGAGGAGTAAGTTGTTTACAGTCAAGAAATACTGGAAAGGACAGGCAGGGTTTTCCTAGTTTTTGTTTAATTGAAAGTGCACAGTGTTACATTTGTAATCTGTTCTTCCTTTTGATGATTGTACTTGAGGGGATTATCTGCCCATCTTTAACCTCTTCATTTTTGGTATCTCTAGACATTTATTTATATCTGTCTAATCTCCTTTCCGAACGTAGCTGTAATCTTTATTAACAAATCAGCCAGCCTTGCTTCTTCCAAAGTAGCCAGCTCCTCCAGCGCTCAGACAAAGGCTCGAGGGGGCGAGGACAGCTCAAACCCTCATTCAGAGACAGGCTGCTAGCTTCTCATGTCACACAGCCCATGATGTCAGAGCAACCATCCCCTGATTGTTTTGTTCTTACCAAACTTGTTTTTCAACAGAGAATCCAGGCCAGAACCTGAACAGACTATTTCAGGAAGTACCGAAACGAAGAAATGGGTCTGAAGGTACGTCACAGGCAGGTGTTTTTCTTTGCAGTCAATACCTAGGAAGTGGAGTGTGCTTTAGCTGTGTGTTTCCTTAAAACTGTGCAGTTTGATTCTGGCCTGGAATCTGATAGAAAAACAGACAGTAAGTATAAAACAAACCATGGGTTAGACGAACACCTTGCTTTTTCTAATTCTGCTGCTGCTGTACTAACGCAACCCTGTTTGAATACTTTTTCCACTCCCAACCTCACTGCTATGCAGATAAAAAGAGATAAGTGATAGAAGTGGCTTTATAAAATCATCAGATCTATTGAAATGCTCTCTTTGCTATTTTTGTGATTTTGGAGGGAGAAAGTTGCAAATTACATATAATCCAACATCAATCACATACTACTTCTGCTCTAGATTTACTTCTCATGGGGCTTATGTTGACAAATGCACTTCAATATGCTGTTAAATTAGTGTGATACTTCAGTATGGTGTATGAAAAAGACAAGAAGATAAGTGAATGTCAGATCGATAAATTATCACTGAACAGGAAGTATGAACATTTTTCTTTATTATAGATTAGTTGCAGGATTTTTCTTTTAGCAAGACAAGAGGAAGAAAAAAAACCCAACATGTACTTTGAAACTCTGTATTTAGTTTGACTTCAGTCAGAAATTATCTAGCTCACTTACAGGTTATAATCTCATAATGAAAAATGCAGTTAAGTGCAATAGCATTCACAGTCATCGTTTTCCCTCCTTTTCCCCTTAGTGATTAAATAAACCAAACCAAAACCATACAGCCAAATAGTAGCTCTTAGCTGGAGAGTACTTCAAATGGTATCTGCTTTTAAATGACTGTTTCTCTTAATACATTAACCTCTAGAAAGTTAAAAAAAAAATTTGTATCTAGTTACTTTTTAGTTCTGTTTTGGGCTGAATGTACACTCATCCTACTTTGCCTAGCAGCTGATGCAATTTTTAAGGTGATTCCTGATCTTATGGTTTTACCTTGTTCTTTTTCCCTCTGGTTCTTTTCCCTTCTGTTTCTTCTCCCCCTACAAAAAAAAAAAAAAAAAAAAAAAAAAAAAAAAAAAAAAAAAAAAAAAAAAAAAAAAAAGGGAAAAAATAGACCTGTATATATTATCCCGGTAAAGGAATGTATGACCACCTATTTCTTCCTCTGATTATGTTCAGTGTTCTCATCATTGCAGTGCAGCTAGCAGGCAGTGTTTTCACAATGATATTTTTCTTTTATTATGTTAAGTATGTTCTTGGTGTTATAAATGTTGGTAAAGGTCCTGTATAAACTTTTGTCAGGTCACGCTGGCGGTATATCAGTATATGCTGTCTGTGTTCATAAAACAACCAAACAAATAAAAGTTTTCCTGGTGTCATTAGTTTTGTTTTCCTCTTCAGGTAATATAACCACAAGAATCCGAACCACAGAGACTGGCTCTGATGAAGCCATCAAATCCATTCTCGAACAAGCCAAAAGGGAGCTGCAAGTACAGAAAACAGGTATGGTCTCATTTTGTCTCTTGTTCCTTTTATTTCGAAATTTAATTAAAACAATTACCATGAGCTTTCTGGTCAGTTAATTATATTCTTAGAGCCTTGAATGTAGGTTTGAAGAGCTGCTTTTTTTTTTTTTTTTTTTTTTTTTTTTTTTTTAATTTAGTGGAGTTGTTTCTGGCTGTAAGGCATCCCAAGTTAAGGTTACATGTGTCACAGCTTGGTGGGGGTCTCTGCTCAGTGGTCCTGGGGGAATGATGCTGTGAGATTTCGAAACACCTTTTTCCACGTGCAGAGCTCTGCCTTCTTTACACCACTCCAGACCTGCAGGCAGTCACTCTGCAGGATGAACCTACAAAATCCTTTCTTCTACCAGTTTGCTTCTTGGAAAGGGAACAGCTCCTGCTGTCTCTTTGCTTCTATCTAACTCAGGCCCCAGGGACACAACTGCATGGGAGAGGGAGCTGAATGGATTTGTCGGGGTGAAGGTCACGATCTAGCCAGCAATTACCAGTCACATAGTACCATCGTCCTGTGGGACATCATGTACTGAAATTATAATACAGGCAAACTCAGTGCTGACTTTCATATGACTTTATTTTTGGTTACAGAATGTATTCATTGAATGAACTGGCGAATCCAAAAAGCATTTCCTTTCCCAAAAACATGATTAGTTTAATGTCTTAGCCCAAGATAAGTTTAATTTTTCATTGTGTGCTGTCATGTAGTTAACATTTCTGCCTAGTCCATAGCCTTCCAACTTTCCAGCACTGCTAAAGGGCTGATGCTGAGAGTACTGTGCATTACTTCTGTTTCATTTTTTAAAGTAGATACTGGTTTACAGTTTTAGATAGTTGTCTTTTAAATTACAACTAAGCTAATCTCATGGCAAAATATAAAAGACTAATTAATACACAATTTGAGTAATATGAGTTTATACAAGTAATGATTGCATAGAGAAATGTGGGCTGTGTGCAGGAAACTGCAAGCACATTGTTCAGTAGCATGTTTCATCTGAGAATCTCAAACTTTCTTTCAAACATTAATTCTGCCTCAAAACTCCCTACGAAACCTGTAGATAAAACAGAATAGATAGTCCCACTGTCTTTTTCCCGTTTCTTTTCATATTTTATAGTGTGTGACAGGAAGGAATGGAGGCAGGCAATTTGGAAATGTATTCAGATGAGGCATAATATTACCAGAATAATACACAGCATGTTTCAAATCTTACTTCACTTTGAGGCCACTTCTTGCAGTGTATGGGTTCCCTGTTACTATCTAGTGCTTTGCTTTCCCCATTTTTTGTAGAGTAGCTTTCAGAGGAATTGGTTTTCAGCACTGGGGACCTCAGTGGTCCTAACTTAAATGGAAACAGATGCCATTGAAAAAACCTCTTGACTCTGCAGAGATAATTCTACACCCACGTTCCAATCTCTGCTCATCCCTGACTGCTGCAGCACAGCCAGACAAGTCCTGGTTCACCACTGAAATACCCCATTTAGGTGTTATGTCTTCTGAAAGCACCCGTGGCTCCATTCTAGGGCTTTGGATAAGGCAGAGGGTGATGGCCAGGCACCAACCTGATTTCTGTAGAGCGTTTCAGTGGTTGGGACCACGGAACAAGAAAACAGGAAGCAGGAGCATATTTAGCTTGTCAAATGAAATAATGAAGTCTCTTACTAAAGTTCTTGTGTTGTTGTAATGTGTGTGTTATATTTTTGGAGGTAAAAGGTCTCACTTTCTTACTTTATTTATATTGTAAGAGAGTATTAATAGTCTGTCCAGGTGAATGCAGCTGTGTTCAGTTTTGAGTGTGTGTTACGATTCATTTGTGGAGATAGAAGTGAAAGGTTAAATAACTTTGCAAATAGAACTATAAAATGTTATTGACCATTTGGGGTGAAGGAGGAAGAGGTGAAGGCTTGATTTTCAAAGGCATTTATTTGAAAATTTTTTACAATGGTGGAAAACATGCAAGTAGTACTAGACTTCTGTAGTTGAGTCTGTGCGTACAAATGTCCAGCACTTTGGCAACTATAAAAATTTTCCAGTGAAGAACTTTGGAAATCTTACCTTATTTTGAAAAGTGCAAATCTTTGCTTAGTGAAAACTCCTCCCTCCCATCCAGAAATGTATTGCAGTCCTTTTTGTGACAGGGAATTATTTACAGTAGCACGTGTTGAATATAAAGCATATTCCTCTGTTGCATTTAGTCTTTTGGTTGTTTTTCATAGCTGAGCCGGCTCAGCCGCCTTCTGCATCTAGCAGTGGCAATTCTGATGATGCTATTCGATCCATTCTGCAACAAGCCCGACGCGAAATGGAGGCACAGCAGGCTGCCCTTGAACCTGCCTTAAAAACACCACCTTTATCTCAAGCTGACATTTCTATCCTGTCCCCCAAACTAGTATCTACACCTGCAATGTCTTCGGTTTCCAGCTATTCTCCTTTGGCCATATCCCTGAAGAAACATTCATCTGTCACTGATTCCAGTATCTCTGCATTGCAGAACCTCTCTGGGCTCAAAAAGGAGCCTCAGGAGGCACCTGTTTTAGAGCTTCATGGAATAAGTGATTCTGCCCAGGGTATGTTGAGGCATGTTAAAAATGAGTTGGGACGTGGTGGTGTTTGGAAGGACCATTGGTGGAATACTGTGCAGCATGAGAGAAGAAATACAGCTCTTCCCGAAGATATAAAAGTTGAGGAAGCCAGTGGTGGAAAAGAAAAGGTCAGCAATCAGACTAGGCCAGATCGTAGCCAGCTCCAAGGACCATCTTCTTCAGAGTATTGGAAAGAGTGGCCAAACGCTGAATCTCCGTACTCCCAGAGTTCTGAATTGAGCATGACTGGGGCGAGTCGCAGTGAGACACCACAAAATAGCCCCCTCCCTTCATCCCCTATCGTGTCTTTGTCAAAGCCATCCAAACCTTCAGTTCCTCCACTGACACCCGAGCAGTATGAGATTTATATGTACCAGGAAGTGGATACGATAGAGCTAACGCGGCAGGTCAAAGAAAAGCTAGCAAAGAATGGCATCTGCCAAAGGATCTTTGGGGAAAAGGTAAAGAACTGGTTATCTCTTGTTACACCAGTATTGTGAATGTGCGTTCTGCTCCTTACATTGGTATGGAGCTCAGTTTAACAGAGGGGGATATGCCACATATGTCTTCTGGAAAAATGTTTTTGCTTCGTATGTTAAGTATTTGAAAAATAAGCTCACAAAGGAAAGTATTACTTTTCCTGTGTTTTGTGAATGGCATAGGTTTTTACACAAAGATTGACTTCAGCCACATGTAATTAGAAATGGGGCCCCTGAGTTTAGAAGCATTGAAAGCTGAAGCAAGTGTTATTGAGACTCAATATTTCATGCTTAATGTAATGAATTCATGGAATATTTGAGTAATACCATTGTCATGACTGGAGAGTCTTAAATTTGTTATAAGTGAAGATTATGGACACAAGAGCATTTTTCCTTTTTTTTTAATATTTGGAAATGTGCACAAGGGTATTTAAACAAACACATGGAAAATCCCCTACCTCTCCTTAGTCTGAAGTCAAGAATTCACAGTCATTTCTTATACCTGGTGCCTGGTATCTTAGTGTGCTTTGAGACGTTTTTAAGCAATGTTTGATTACAGATATGCGATGCACGATAAGGCTTTCTGAAGTTCTCACATTGTGGGCCCTAAGCATTGAACATGTGGGATTCTAGAGGGGTCCCCGACCACCAGGAAACACCTCCCAGGCTGTAAGGAGTGGTGGACATCTGGTGTTTCTTCTTCCTATAAAAAAAACTGAATCAATATAATAGTATAATAGGAGCTGGCATCACACTATTACCTTTTCACTAAGATGTAAAATGAAAAGCTTGACCTCTTGGGGTCATTAAAGATCCCATGGCAGCTTTCATTAAGTGTGATTTTTAACCCCTGTACCTGTGCTGAATTCCAGGCAAGTAATTGCATTCTGCCTGTCTGAAATTCCCCCTTTGCTGCAGTCGGCTGTATTCTTAAATATTTACTTACGTGGAGCAGCCGCTGCTACAGGTGAAAACACACATCGTTATAATTCATACCAAAAAAAGTCAACCAAATATAGGCCTAGTCTCAAAAGTCCCAATTATTTTTGTTTGAGAACAAAATACATGCCAATCATCTCCTGTTTTATCTGCCTGTGTGTGCCTGGACTCTGTGTTTTTCCTGTTAGAACTGATGAAACTATTTGACACACAATATGAAAAGCATGCAAATCTTGCACCATCCGTCTGCCGTTTGCGCTGCCACTCTGTTCCTGCAGGAACAAACCCACGCTCCAGAAGGAAACCACGGCAGGAGAAAAGCATTTCCATCAATTACCTACAGATGTCATTTTGCAGTTTTACTAATTGTCCATATAAAACCCACCTGAGCGGTCTAACAGTAAAGAGACCAAAGTGACTTCAGTTACCCCCCTTCCACATCAAATGTGTTAACGTGCCGTTCTTGGTTGCTTCACTTCAGGTATTGGGGCTGTCCCAAGGAAGTGTCAGTGACATGCTCTCCAGGCCAAAGCCATGGAGTAAATTGACCCAAAAAGGCCGAGAACCATTTATTCGTATGCAGCTCTGGTTGAATGGTGAGCTGGGACAGTGTGTCCTGCCTGCACAAGGGCAGCAACAAGGACAAGGTAATTAAAATTCCACTATGTTGTTTGAGTTGAGGAGGAGGACTTTTTTTTTTTTTTTTTTTTTTTTTTTTTTTTTTTTTTAATTTGCAGTAAGCGAGACTTGCACCCAGTGGTAGTCCAGGAGTTACTAGCAGTGGCAGCATCCACCCCGGCAGCCCAGCCGGTCCCTAGGGGGACGCACTGGGACTGTTTATGAACGAAGCCCTCGTTTATGTGTAATTGATAAGCAGCAGTTATCAAGTTCCTCATTAGGATGATATTATCTAGGCATGAATATGATACGTAATTCAAAAAATTTTGGCCAAAGAGCTGGAAGATCTTGTGCGCTGTTTTCTAGGGTTGCATAGGGGATTTTTATTGTTCCTAGGAGAATATCGATTGCTTTCTCTGGAGGTGAGCTAGAACAACTAAGCTTTAAAGGGGGAATGCTGTGTTGCAATTATGCTTTTATTGTGGCGCTTTCTTATCCTAATACCTATTGATACAGAAAGGCCAGACTAGAATTTGGCCTCAGCTGTACCCTTATAACACCACTGACTTAAATGAGCAGTGTGCCCTTGCAGAGATCAGCAGTTTGCTATTTGTTGAGCCTGCTTACTGTTTAGTTTGTGGTTTGGCATCTCCTTTTATTGTTCCCTGATTTTCCTCTCCTCTCTTATCTAGTCCTTCACTCTGTGACATCATTACAGGATTCCCTACAGCAGGGATGTGCAAGCTCAGGTAATCAGCTGGTTTCAATGATTTGCTCTGAAATAATTCTCTGTGCTTTTGTTACATTTCTTTTGCTTTGATGCTGAGAGGTTTCTCGCGTTTTGTTGTATCATACAGGAGTCCCTTCAGTTTTTTTTATTAACACAGTTAATTCCTCGTTCTCTCCTTGTTGCTATGGCAGATGTAAGGAGTACACATATTTAGCTGCATATATTAGGTAAAGAGACTCTGTCTGATCTTAGAGATCATTGGCTCTGTAGGGTTTTTTTTACCATAGTTCAGCTTATCAACTTGACATGTGACAATGGCTGTAAAACAAGCCTTTCGTTTGTAATGTGATCTACATACTCCAGCTGCCTTACTTGCTGGCATATTTTTTTGCCACTTCCATTTGCACAAAATCTGCTTTGTTAATTTGAAGGTGGGGAAGAGACCACATTATGTCTTTTTTCAAGCTTCGTTAAATATTCCAAGACAACCTTTTTTTCTCCCTCCCCTTTCCATTCGCAGAAAAGCAGATGCAGCAAAGATGAGTGTCAGAGAGAAGTGAATTGCTAAAGGTTTTATAAGATGGCCACAGTATAGGAAGGAGACTGGAACAGAACAGCTGTGTTCCTGCTGTTAGATACCAAACTCTACCCACACAAACTTTTTACCAGTGATATGCCTAACTGATGTAAGCTACTTAGGCTGTTTTGTACTCTAGAAAAATAGTTGTGCCCTGCTCTGTACTTACAGCCTGTGCCCTGTATTGGAGGAATTACTGCGTTTCAGGATACAGAGAAGGATGAGTTGTGCTTGTCTTCCACCTTTCTGCCATTCTGAAACACGTCTTTTTCTGGAGCTTGCTAGGTTTATTCTCAGTATTCCAACCAAACTGCTTTTTCTCTATACTGAGAAACTATTTTACATTCTAAAAGATTTTACTAGAAGAGAAACTGTGATGATATTCAGTCCACGTTTTTCTTAAGAAAAACAGTTGAAAATAAATAGATAAAAGAAAAAAAAATGCCCCTGGTAAAAACAAGCCATGAAAACAAAACCAAAATGGGAAAAAATTATTTGCAATCATACAGCTATTGTTACTTATAGCCAAGCATTTAGTGAACATGGAAATTTCCTGCAACGTTTTATAGGCTGCTGTTCATTAAAGGCGTGCCATTGACTACTTTTTGTGGCATCAGTACTGTGCAAGAGTAACTGTTACAGTTATGAATGCCTAAGACAGCATGGAAAATATGAGTAATTAATTGTATCCATTTTAAGAGAAATTTGAAATCAGAGGAGCTGAGAAAAGGCTGCATTGTTATTGCTAATCATCATATTTATGACTAGCTGTAATTATAAAAGATTGAAAGACAAGCCCATAGTATTAAAATCCGACCACCTTATGGATTCCCGTGAGGATCGCTGGTAGCTGAAAGTGATTTCCTTCAGGAAGTTCAGTTTTGCTGTGGTGGTATTTTGCTCCCCTCCCACACTCCCAATCTCATTTGTCAGTTCCTGCCCTTGAGCTAATATTTTGTGAGGTGACACATTCCTATCAGCTAATAAAATCATATTATTGATGATCACCCTCCTCTCCTTAAAGCAGACTTACAAATGAGAAAATGGGCTCGTGCCCTTTTCTTCTTCCTTTCGGATGATTAAAAATAAAACTGTTGTACAAGACATTCTTTTCTTGGTGCCTTTCTCTGTATAAAGGAATAAGGAAGGTTGTGACACTGCACAGAACAAAAGAGTGAAACCAAGTTATTTGAATGAGGAAGGGCAGTTTGGTAATTTTCTTTTATTAGCAACTGTTCTGTAATTAAAAGCGCAGCAAACAGTTTGGAAAAGGTAATAATAATTATGCATTTGTGAAAGATCCTCTACTCCAGGGCAGGAAAAAAAAAAAAGACAGCTCCAATTTTCTGGTCTTCTGAGACATTTCCCAGGAAAATCAAGGCAGAAAAGGTTGCATACTTGTAATTTTAAAACAGAAATTAATCAGAACAATTTTGAAATGAGAAGAGGTCTGGAGCCTTTTCTATGTAATATAATTGGCTTGCAACTTGTTGAATGCATGAAGGGAAAGAAGTGAAATTAAACTAATACATTCAGTGGCTCCTGAGTGCTTTGCCAAGAAGGTCTTCAGTGTACAGAGTGTCAACATGCATAGTAACGTCTCAAACTTTTATTAGCTGTGAGTATTTTCATTACTGTTTGGCACTATTCTATCAAACTAGCAAGATTTTCTGGATTTCTGACCCAGTTAGTTACACTTCTAGATCATAAGGTTTTGATTAACACCTCATTCATGAAAATCTGTTCTTCTGTCCAGTAATTTTCCATTGTCACACGTGGACAGATGGACCCATCAGTCTTTTCTATGTGGGAATGAATGGGTGAGCATTAGAGAGAGAAAGAGAGAGAGCAAAGTGAAGCCAGGCTCGTTTTTCTTCTTTGAATGCTATATTTATGAATCTTGAAAAAACACAGTCTATACCAAAATTAAAACCAGATATATATCTGTATTTTCAGCCTGTGACCTTTCATCAAAGCTTTGATGATTTTGTGCAACGTTCAAGTGAAGGTGTTTTACACAAAAATGGTGTCTGTACCCTAGGTGGTCAAAAATAGTATCACTGTGCCTTTTCTAACATTTTTTCTGTGTATTTCTTTCCACCTAAATGCTCTAATGCCCTTGGGTAAATCTGCCTTTTTAATGATTTATGTGTCAAAAGCATGGACCAGATCACATGGAAAAAAAAAAAAAGTTGAATTAGTGTCACCCAACTGCATCAGCGTTTTTTCATGATGAATTTGGCCCTTATTTAGTTGCATTACTGATGATCAGAGCTGGGTTGGGTTTGGACAGTAGCCATGTGCCAGAAGAAGGTTTTTGTGCTTGGGTATTTTTCTAAATACTTGTACTGTATATAGCTCTTATTAGTTTGTTTTATTTTGGGGTCTTATGTCTTTACTGAGCATCTCTATGACATTAAGACAAAGTTTCTTTTTTGATGCTGTTGATTTCATAGCTACTCCCAGGAAAGCTGAATTTTTATTCACTTTTGTATTTATCCTCTGTGAAGGACATACACTCTCTATATACTACATTAAAGACTTGCAAATACTCAGTGGGAAAAAGACGTGCCTTTTTGGTATGTGTTTCTGTAAGGGTCGTCTTATGACCTAATGTGGAAATCTTCATTTGCCGATACAGCTGCGGGTGATCTCAGGGGATTTTGAATTTCCCTTTTGTTTGTCTTCCTTTCTGGGTATCATCCATCATTCCTAACCTCATGCTGCTTAGCAATAGTAACACTCATGGGAGTTGAAGAAAGGATTATAGCAGCATAAAATGGGGAGCTAATTAGAGCTTGTTTCAAAATCAGAATCTAGCTTGAGATAATTGCATATATCTGGTGATTTAAAAACCCGAGATCTACTGTATTTAGATCAACTAAAATATGCACAAAAGCTTTATTTTCAAAATAAAACATTTGTAACAACAGGGAGATTACTTCTTATCATCCCTTGGGGAAAAAAATCTGGAAAAAGATCAGAATGCAATCTCTGGTTTACTGTAGTTAAGATATTAACAGACATGTGGAATGATGACAAACCCAGGTATCCATTATATTTTTATTTATGTAATAGGTATTCCAGTAATATTTTTCAGTGCAGAAGCTGCTGAGCGGGCAGGTAGTTAACTGTGTACTGGGTAGATCTTCCCATTTGCCTAATAGCAGAAGGATGCTGTCACATTGGCTGCTCTGAGAGAAACAAAGTGGGGAGAGAGTGTATTTCAGACTTGCAGTCCATATTCAGGATTACCATCCTTGATGCACTTCTGGGAAGAGCTCAGTAGCCACATGGTGGCAATGGAGAAGTGGAGAAGTTCTTACACCACCACCACCCCCCCCCCCC